AGCAAGTTTTTACATGATACAACGTTTGGAACAGTTATTCGTGAAAATCAGTAACATGATTTCACGAATAACCGATCTTCATACAAAAGACTACAAGCTCGACACCCATGATTCCTTTCAGACCACCGCAATCCAAATTATGTCACTTCATACCAACTTCTGTAGCACTCCATATTGAAGGAAACTTGTTAGGATTTTGAATGTATTGAAGTAATCATTTCAAATTATCAAATAATTATCGCATCAAAAAAAAAAAAAAACACACCGAAATGATAATATCTTTAAGGACGATAGTAAATTCTGTAACTGATTCTGTTAAATTTGATAGTGAATGAAATGAACTATTTTGAATGATTGTTAAAGATTGATTTTCAATGATAATTGCTTTCATTTTATCACCTCTTTGTTCACATAAATTTAATTCATTCAAAAATATTTGCATTTTTTGCTCCTAAAAATTAACAAGTAAACTGAAAGTTAACTAACCTAAGAATGAAAAATGATAAAAGGTAAAAAAGTTGATTGAATAAATTGAACATTTACAAAAAGACTTTTATTGATAAATCTGATAAGCATCATATCTTCTTACAAATTTCCTTTTTCACCTCCCCCAGTTTGTACTTTTTTTCCAGTATTTCTAAATTTTCTTCCTGTATTATTCCTCCATTTCATCCTTTTTTTATTGCAAATTTTCGTTACTTACATCAGTTTTTCGTGTTAATTTACCGGAAATCAGTAATGTCTGTGATGTGACAATTGTCATTTGAAAGGCCAATAGAAAAACGACCGTACAGTAATACATTATTATAAAATTAGTCCTTTATTCCTCTTCAATTTTTATAATTTATAAGGAAATAAATGCAATGATTTAGCTAATTATTATTAGTTGAATCAATGCATGCATATGCAATCATTTGCATGTATCCTGCATGCACAAATAGCGTGTTGTGTATTAACAAATAATACGACTTGTTAAATTCTAAGCAATAAAAATATAAATTAAAATTAATAAATTATAAGATTAAAAAAAAATTTTTTAATATTTAAAATTAATAAATCATTTGAGCGTATATTGCTACTGAAATAATTTGATGACAAATACTTTCTTTCAAACATTAAAAATTTATTCAATTTTGAAGGCATCCAATAAAAATTGTTAAATTTCATAAAATAATATTAGCATAGTGAAACTTTAATTCATTGTAGGATCATTCGAAGTAACTCCTGTTAATTATTGATATGATAATGATAACGATAATATGGCATCTGTTATTAATACTTATTCTTTGCTTCGATGTCTCTTAATATCAGCAAAGACAACCAATGTCACCCTGAAAGCAAAAGTTCGTTGTCACCAAAATGTTACAGCAAATAACCGGTTGTACCTTGCGGCTAACCTAAAAAAGGAATTCAATTAGGTTCTTTTTACAATGCAAATTTTTCGTTTTTTTTTTTTTTGCAGAAAATATTCTGCAAAAAATGGAAAAATCACTTTGCCACTATTTAATTAATTATTGATTGGCTGTATTTCTCACATATGATATTTTATAAGTTTTAAATGAATTATAGTCATTCCTTTTGTAATATTTAAACAAATTTTTGTTGAATTATTTCAGAAGACGTTCACTGTGACAAATGAAAATGGCGGAAAAGGTTTGGCATTTTTTAAAGCCTTTTCAAAATTTTCCATTTTTTTCATGTTATAAAAAAAGTAGTAAAAGTGCAATTTTTGGAGTGTAATTTCTAAAATGTTTTTACTTTTTACCTGTTAATTTTAAAATTTCTAAATTGCTCTCCAAATTCTGAAATAATTTTCACTTTCTTTTTCCTCTATTTGTGATTTCATCGAGAATATTCTCTCTTATGACAATATATGCATTTTGTTGAATTATTTGGACAAAATTGTAATTGTTGTTAATTTTTGTAGTAGGATACTCTTGAAGATATATCACGCTTTTATTATAATTTATTAATTTAAATTTGATTCATTTCACATTCTCTAGGAATTTCAATTAAGTCTAGCAAATATTATTAGCATTATTTCCAGTGAAAACCTCCTCATATTATTCAGTATTGTTTAACAGTTATTTTGTTAACACTCAAATTTTAAAGTATAACTCAATGGTAAATTTAGAAAGTATTTTAGTTTAAAATATTTCGGAAATCAAGAAAATCCTAATTTTAATCTAAATTTTAATTAAATTTTCATTTTATTTGCTTCCTCATTCTTTTGTCCACTCAATATTCACTCATCCTTTACTTTTCTCTCATTTTTATTGCAATAAAATATTAAAATTGAAAAATGAACTTTTTAAATGATTTTTCGCTTTTTTGTCAATCAAAAATCAAATTGAGCGAAATTGGGAAAGAAAAGAGAAAAACTCATTAAAAAGTAATAAATTTTTTTCAATCACTAGAAATTTCTCTCTTCTTTTTTTGAAAAGATGAAAAATTTGATAATGAAAAATATTTTTTGATATTGACAAACAACATTTAACACTCAGAAAAAAACATTTTTTTCTCTAAATAAAAGATTTTTAAATAAAATAAAAAAGATACTAATAAAATTTAAAAAAAAATACTTTTTAAATAAAAAGATATTGTACGATTTTTAAAAAAAAAAACTTGAAAATAATGTTAATAAAAAAAATTATATTAATATGAAAATTATAAAATTGTAAACATTAAGAAAAAATTTTTTACTTCGAAATTTTTGTATAAAGTTTGATAAATTTTGTATTAATTTAATTTAAATTGTATTAAAAAAGAAAAGAAAGAAAGAAGGAAAAAAATAAAGATGAAAAAAAGAAGATAATGAAAAATTGATATTTCATGTATTTCTTCTTCTTTTTGATTTTCTTTCTTATTTTGTTTTTCCTGTTTTGTTTTAAAAATTGACAATAAAATTTATATTTTCAGTAGGAGACACATTTTGTTCTAACTCGTAAAACATCATAGATTACATCTTTGCTGATTTTTCATTTTGTCATCTCATCTGTCCTTTTGGTGATTTTGTATATTTATACTGCCTGGTACAATTCGACCTACTACTATCGTAAGTATTATAGGTCATATTTATCATTGTTGTCATCAATCACTTGATAATCATTTTTGCTCCACCTTTCTTATTACACTTTACTGTTCTGTTCATATAATAACTAATTTTACATGTTAATTTTATTATTTGGTAAATTTTAACATCTCATAATTCATTAACGGAATATACATTGTTGATTAAATCGAATTACTTGAATTAATTAATTGTGCAATTTAAACTTTTTTTCGTTTTATTCAATAATTGTTGATTTATTCTTGAAATTTTTAGCACTGATTTAATAAATATACATTTATTATTATTACTGATTTCCTATTAACGATTTACTATTTACCGTTAGCAATTCATTCTGTATTATTAAATAAGCAACAATAATAAAAATATTATCAATAATTCATTGGCTATCATAATGCTACCATTTCCATTCATCGATTTTCATCATTTAAGTAAAATATTTCCAATTCAATTTTTATCATCGGATACGAATGATATTCAGGTATTTTATATTATTTCAAATTTTAAAATGAAATTATAAAATAACAAGAAATATTAATTGGAAAAAGAAAGGAAATGATGAAAAGATTTGATATTTATAAATGAATGGCAATCATTAAATATTATAATATTTCATTTCTTTTCTTTAAATAAATAATTTATGTCATTTATTTATTTATTTTTTTAATCTGTTGTATATTTCAATCTTTTTTT